GCACGTTTTCATTACCGTAGTGTCGCCCTTAATGTAGTTTTTCTTAGACGGTGTTTAGACAATGGCGTATGTCCTAGCGGTGTAGAAAAGCGTGTTCACCGAGCCAAGGCATACCACACTTTGAACATCGAGCGAGTTTTCATGAAGGATGAGATTGCCAGGTCCGGTGACACGGTGTGCAAGTCTCGTTCCCAGTTTAGGTCCTTGTATGATCGTGCACGTACATTTTTGTCATCTCATGACTTCCTTCGTTTCTCAGTGCTCCTTTCTGAGAACGACCAGAAACAACGAGTCAAACTTATCACCAAACATGACAAGACATATAACTGGCTCAGAAGGAAACGTTACGGCCAAGTTAACATCGATCCTGAAACAACAATAATAAACCTCACACCATTGGAATTGACTACCGTGCAGAAGGAGCTCCTTTGCCGTGGCACTGATTTTGGCGTTCCCCCATCATCAAATAAAAAGGAAGTTATCATGACCGAGTTTGAATTGTTTTATCGAAAGTTATTACGTTTTACGCCGACATCAGAGGCCCAGCAATCAATATGCGCAGCAAAGATCCGAGCTGAGGCTGAGGAGCATGCGGACAAACTTCCAGATAAGCGATCATTTTCCTTAGGCCAGGAACACATGAAAGCCCTCCGTGACTTCCGCAAAAACACGGAAATCATCGTCACGCGCCCGGACAAAGGGCGGGCTACAGTTCTGATGCTCAGAACCGATTACATCGACAAGATGTCTGTCATCTTAAATGACACATCAAAGTTCCAGACCCTCGGCCCAGTTGAAAGTTTTGATCGAACAGAGAAAGTAGAAAAAGAACTAATAGCTTACCTAAAGAAACTGAAAGACGACGGTGAAATATTCTCAAATGATTTCGATCGCATTAAACCGACAGGCACCCTCCGGCCTAGGCTATATGGCTTACCAAAAATACACAAGCCCACATGTCCAGTACGTCCCATCGTTTCCATGATGGCTTCACCCCAATATTCTATTTCCAAGTGGCTGTGTATTTACTTACAACCAGTGCAGGACCACTACTGCAAGCGCACTGTAAAAGACAGTTTTGATTTCGTCGAGAAGCTCCGCAACAAGCCTGTACCACCCAACGCACACATGTGTTCGTTTGACGTCGTCAGTTTATTTACTAATGTGCCGATTGAAGAAACTGTCGACATCTGCATGGATGTTTTGTACCGTAATGATGACGTTGACACTCCTTGGATATCTGAAAGTGCGTTTAGACGGTTGTTGTTGCTGGTCACAACTGGTGTTGAGTTTTCGTTCAACAATGTCATGTACAAACAAGTCGATGGTGTTGCGATGGGTTCGCCCCTTGGTCCGGTATTGGCAAACGTGTTTGTCGGTTACTGTGAGTCGAAAATTGATGATTCATTGTGGCCTGACCTTTATGTACGTTTCGTGGACGACTCCTTCACATATTTTGATAATGAGGAGCGTAGTAACGAGTTTCTTGACGTGTTAAATAGTATTCACCCTGCCCTTCGTTTTACATGTGAGCATGAACAGTCCAACAAATTGTCATTTCTAGATGTGCTTGTGGAAAAAACGAGTAGTGACGTTCTGACCACCGTTTATCGAAAGCCGACGTTTACTGGTCAGTACATTGTATATGACTCTTATTGTTCGTCTCAATATAAAGTAAACTTAGTGCGTAACCTTGTAGATCGTGCGAAGCGTATTTGTTCGTCCTGTAAGCTGCAGGAAGAGCTTGATTTTCTCCGGTCAGTTTTTGTCAAGAACGGGTACCCTGAGTTTTTGTTGCAGAAGTTGTTGAAAGTCGAACAAACTACGAAGGCTCCTATGATTGGTCCGGCTCGTTGTCCCGTTTATTTATGTTTGCCGTGGAAAGGGCAGGAGTCGACTAAAGTTTGTAGTGCAGTCAAGTCTGTTGTTCGTCGAACATACTACGCAGTACATTTTGTGCCCGTCTTTACGACGATGCGTGCGTTTACGGTGCGGAAGGATGTCCTACCAGCCCATCACCTAAGTCATCTTATTTACAACTTTGAATGCCGACAATGCGCTAGTCGGTATGTTGGTAGGACTGTTCAGCACCTGAACGCACGCATCAAACAACACACACCACGTCACATACTTCCACCTTGCGCACAACAACAAAGACCGAAGCGAGGGCGACCTAGAAAACAACCAATAACCACACAGCCGTTGCCTACACAACCCGCGGACCCTGACTCACGGACTGTGCTTGCTCCGCCGTCGTTGGTGGCGGTGGGGGAGGAGAATGGGCGTGGTGGCTCATCGGGTCGGCTTGTGTCGCCGCCTTTGCTCCGGCCGTCGGTGGTTCCCTCGTCAGTGCCCCCGGCGGCTTTGGCTGAGGTGGTGCCGCTTGCGGTCCCGGTTCCACTGCCTCCTCCCGATCCTCCACCATCGGTTCTTGCGGCGGTGGAGCTTGCCAGTGGGAGACCGCGAGCAACACTGACAGCTGCATTAACACTACAAATGCCGACTCAAAAAGACCCACCTTGCATATCAGTAGCTCCCACACCAACACCAACAACACAATCTACAGCAACCACAACTAATCCACCATCCAAGCCCACAATTGAAAGACCAAGACGATCAACAGCCAACTACAACAGAAGCTACGCACTCAGCGGACAAGGGCGAAAGGAGGGATGTGATAGCAGGGTGACGGCCGAGTTGACTTCAATGGACCCGGTCAGGCGGGATGGACGAGACAGAGAGAGTACAGAGGAAGCGGAGGATGGAGCGGACGGCGGAAGGAGCAGTGAGTCGGAGAGCAGTGATGGGAGTGATGGTGAGAATGCCGGTGAGAGTGTTAGTGTTGTGCGTAGGTTTCGTGGTAGCAAGTCTTCAGTGTACAATCATCTGCTAGCTAGTCCTGATTGTTGTAATTCGTATTCCGACTCTTCGTTCACTGTATTGTGCCGTGGTCGTCATGGTTATGGACTACAGTTAAAAGTGTTGGAAGCTATCTATCAGCGTCTGTACAAGCCTAATTTGTGTGTACAGAAAGATAGTATAATTGGGTTGAAATTGTTCAAGTAACGTGTCGTGTTTAGTGCGGCCAAGCTTGGCCGTTAATGTTCTAGGTGTAATGTACTGCTGTTATGTGTTATCACGTTGTCTTTCCTTCCTTTCTCCTTTGTTCATTTCTCGCTTTGATTGTTAAAATTCACACTTGTAAATTTCACTGTTGTTGCTCTTAGTGTTATTTCTGTAACTTAGATTTTCTATAATAGTTCAATTTTTGTTTCAGTGTCCTTTAGTACAACGACGATTCCTGATGAGTGTTGTACGAAAACTTGTTTGAATCCATATATTTTTTCCCTACACCATTTCTTCATATTTTCATCGTTTTATTGCACATCGTCTCCACCGTTTTTACATTGCATGAATAAAGTACACAAATGTCGGTTCAGCTAGTTTTATTGATTGCGGTTAAGAAAAAAAATTATTCAAAAAATCATATTTGCCACATCAATGAAACTCGTTAGCTCGCTCGATAGCTTGCTCGTTCGTGGAACTGATCGCTCGTTTGTTATAGATACGCTCGTTTCAACACTAGATAAGATCTAGACCTCCAGACCGGGCAGATAGACACGTTACTTTAAGACTTAGACCTATTGGTGACGTAACCAGTGTTCACAACTGGCGCGTGTAAGTGTGAAACCATGTGCTTGTGCGTGTTTTTGCTGGCTGTTGGGCGTTATGCGTGTGAAAACGCGCTGAAAGGGAAATTTCAAAATTGGATATTTCAGCGCGTATCAGGCGCGTACCGGCATGCATGCCAGCCACTTTGACTGGTGGGGTCGAAACAATAGTACTCGAAGGTGTCGCATTCGTTCAATAAGACTCGGATTGCTGCTTATTGTGAAAGCCTGAGTACGCATTTGGGCACGGATGAACCGCAAGCGTACCGCGTCCACCCGCCATGCAGTTGTGAACACAGCTTAACCCTTTACCGGCAAGTGCATTTTGTATATGAAATCCACAACATTGAGAAGGATGCCAATAACTCACAACGAATGCACATTTTGTATGTGCAAGTTATGTTTTCTTGGAAGTCTGGTACTACTTCTTGACCATGGAAAAATTTATTTTCACATACCACACACATACGCTGCTAAATTGGCACCTATACGTCTAAGCACGGAAATTATACATAGTGCAAATCGTCAGATTCCGACATTGACATGATACTGCCAAAACAAGTCGACTTCGGAGCGGAAACGAACGCCATAGCCATCACAGACTTTAGTAGACGTGCCTCCCTCGCAATTGAGAGCAGCATCGCCCCAGAATTGCTGTCCGACGGCTTGGTAAGGTCGTGCGCAAGTCGCGCTCCGCTGCCGTCACTCAGGTACGGAGAAAGTCGATGGCCTAAAATTCCGTCTCTGGGGGAATGTCGACACGGGGATCACTCTTGATGGCTTTCCCACAATCAGATTCTTCCAGGTACATCACGATGACATCGTCTTCAGCGGCAGGAGCTCCCGATATTTGCGCGAGAATTTACTTGGCGTGCGCTCCGCTCCGTAATTTGAAATTCGCTCGCATCGGCGGCTGGAACGAAGTATTTATCTATCTGTCGTCGGTCCCAGAGCGAAGGTCTGCTAGGTCCTCGTCGGAGAAGTCATCTGAGGACGGAAGGAACTCACTGCGCAAGAGGAAATGCATCTGACGACGTTTTGACGGAGGCAGACGGCATTGTCGGCGCGCGTGTATTTCCGTAAGTTTTCGATCGCGCAGTTCTCAATGAAATCAAATGGGACACGCGTAGATCTCTTCAGCTACGGATAGGATCATACCTAGGCTGTGTGAGGGCCACGGGAAATCCCCGTGGGCTGATGCTTCCTGTCATACCAGGCCTGGTTTTAGTATGCATGTCAAATGCGTCATTTACGACACATTCAAGTATGGCCGGGCTGCTGGCGGTAAAGAGTTAAGCCCAGAACGGCACATGACCTGTATAAACATACCTCGGCTGGTTTCAGAACTGCCTGGCAATCCTTCCAGTAGCATTCAGCAGTGGGTCTCATCCTGAAACAACAAAATTAGAATTTGAAATTTCATCATACACTAGTTCTTTAGGTGTGTGGATTGAAGTATCTCTTTGTATTCATTTATGGTTGTGTGTGTGTGTGTGTCTGGATCAAGTTTACCCACAACACCATTTTCTAGCCATTTACTCACTGATATAGACATGTATACCCTACACACAACCCCCACCCACACATACACACACAGAAACCCCCACCCATGACCCCCACCCCCACACACACACAACCCCCACACACACATACACACACACACAAACAACCCCCCCCCCCCCCACACACACACACAACCCCCACTCACACACCCACATACAACCCCCCCCCCCACACACACACAACCCCCCTCCCACACACACACAACCCCCCCCCCCCACACACACATACACGTCCCCCCAACCCCCCCCCCCCCCACACCCCCTCCCCCCAGCCCCCTCCCCCCCCCCCCCTCCACACACACTACACCATTATGTAGCCATGTACTCACTGGTAAGGAGATGTATACTCTACCCCCCCCCCCCCCACACACACACAACCCCCTCCCTCCCCCCCCCCACACACAACCCCCTCCTTCCCCCCCCCCCACACACACAACCCCCCCCCCCCCACACACACACACAGACACCCCCCACACACAACCCACACGCACAACCCTCACACACAACCCCACCCAAAACCTACCCCCCCCCCCACACACACAACCCTACCCACACCCCAGCCCCCCCTCCCACACACACACACCCACAACCCCACACACAACCCCTGCCAAAACCTACCCCCCCCCCCCACACACACACAACCCTACCCACACCCCAGCCCTCCCCCACAACCACAACCCCACACACAACCCCTGCCAAAACCTACCCCCCTACCCCCCCCCCCCACACACACACACACACAACCCTACCCACACCCCAGCCCCCCCCCCCCCCCCACACACACAACCCTACCCACACCCCAGCCCCCCCCCTACCCCACCCCGTCGGGTACTTTACTCTCTCAATGGGATCCCATGTACCAGAACAATAATAAATTATTGGTAGTGTGTAAAGTACCGCTATGTTTACACAACCAGAAGTTTGAGTACGAAAAACACACTGAGTTATGCCTGGCCCGCAGTCGGACCTTTTTTGGCCGGCGTTCTGACACCGACCCTGTCATAAAATCGGCTGACTGCCTAAGCGCACACAAATTTGTATTTTATTTTGCTGATCCAGCAAACTAGTCGTACAACCCGATATCGGCCGAAAAATCCGACGAGGGTTGACCAAACATAAGTTTGCAGTTTACAAAGCCAGAAATGGAGCATATTCTTCGCAACAAAGCACCATTGATTTCCTTTGTATGCTGCTGTGTGTGCACCCACTCACCCAGTCACTGGTGGTACAGAGCAACACTAAACTGTAGTAAACACACTATGGTATCTACACCATGCTGTCTACTATAGTAGTGGACATAGAAACCTGGTAGATTGACTGGGGCTGGCTGGCTGGCTGGCTGGCTGGCCACCTCAGCACAGAGTACAGAATGCTGTGTGCAGTGCACACGTTGATGGGATGAGACCAGCGCGCAACAGCGCATGCATGCATGTGTGAACATGCATGTGTGTACATGCATGTGTGTACATGCATGTGTGTACATGCATGTGTGTACATGCATGTGTGTACATGCACACTCTCTTCTGCCATTAGAGAGGTTCCGCATAACGTAATTACGTTAGTAAAAAACGTAGTCGATCTACGGAAAGTCTTACGTAAACTGCATGTGGATCTGGGTTCCGCCATACGGAGTTTTCAAATCACGTAGCTGCCCTTGGCAACTCCGAACGCGGCAGTGTACGACCAGATCGACCTGGGGAGAGAGTCATAAATTTGTACCCAATCCATTAACGGACCAGCTACGTTATCAGAGCCCTATCTACGTACTCTCCGTAGACAACTTTCCGTAAGTGGAGTGCAAACTCGCGAATTCACGGGTTTTCCCGCCCACTAACGTAAAGTTGCTCAACTTTACGTAGTGCGGAACCTCTCTAATATCGAACATCGTCTGTGATTGATTGGAGGTCCGCTCTACCACGTGCAAGCACTGAAAATCGGCCGACGTTTTGGCCAAAATATCGACCAGTCGATACATCGCAGAAAAAAACGAACGACACACTAGGCGATTGTCGCGCTGGTCTTGACGAAATTTCGTAGATGTACGATTCAATTTTGTCCGAAAAGTTTGACAAGTGGTAACATGGTATACCTATGTTGTAGGTACAGAACATAATATTCCACAGGAAAGGGAAGTGATTGACAATAATTGATACGTTTACAAATCAACTTCGGCTGTGCGAATGAGTTTCTATTTCCTTGTTAGCTGCACTAAAATGGAAACTTCAACTTTCATTGTAGTTTGAATGAACGTAATCGCGGAAAACGATAATCGTCAACCTGATCCACATCACGATACAAATAGTACAGTAGACTTAGCTCTGCTCACACAGGAATCACATTACATATAGTATAGACTATTACACTACACAATACATGCAGGAGCGGATAATCACACGATAGCCTTGCCACAATGGGAGAGGTTCAAGCCTGGAAACACTTGAAATAGGAGAAACGCTAGCAGTCACTACTTACCGATCTATGCGGTCTTCAAGGCAAAGTCGACAGTAGCGGTGTCCACACGGACCACTACGCGGCTGGTCAAGCACCTGGTGACAATGTGAGCAAAGGTACTTCTTCTCGCGAAATTTCACGTCCTGGAAAATCTCCGGAGGATATCCTTTTCGTTGAAAACGTGATTTGCGCCAGGGCATTGAGCCTGGGGGTTTGACCGCCATTGCTCCGACACTTAGCAGACTCGGAGGGAGGGTGCTAGCACGAATATCGTTGCAACGCAAGCAAATATGCTTGTGACTGAAAGTATCGAGTAGGTAATATTTCTTTTCTAAACTTGTTTCACTCGCTCGGAAACACACACACCAACACATCAACAGCAGCAGTGTGTGAAAAGTTACACAGACCAGGGTCGTGAATGTGTGAATCATCTACCATCTACCACACAGTGACAGTGGATCTATCACACAGACTAGTACAAGTGGCGAGATTCTGCGCTTGCATGGCATGCTCCTCCTGTCTTGCCCTGTCCAGACTCCAGACCACGGAGTCGTGTTTATACAACTCCCTGCTCCGCTCCAGACCTGCAAAGTCCAGGTCGGGTGTCAGGTTTGGTCCGGTGTGCTGTGATTGTAGAGTATGTCTGTCATTGTTCAGTCCTAGATCCTGCTCAATGAACTCCAGTCGCATCTCTCAAGTACGCGTCAGGCGTTGCGCAGCCCTACACCATGTACACGGTACACCTGCCAACACCACTGAACAATGGGCTGTGAAATGATGCGAGTCGCAAACTTGTCTTCAGTGACCCGACTGTGGACTGTAGACTGTAGACTGTAGACTGTAGACTGTAGACTGTAGACTGTAGACTGTAGACTGTAGACTGTAGACTGTAGACTGTAGACTGTAGACTGTAGACTGTAGACTGTAGACTGTAGACTGTAGACTGTAGACTGTAGACTGTAGACTGTAGACTGTAGACTGTAGACTGTAGACTGTAGACTGTAGACTGTAGACTGTAGACTGTAGACTGTAGACTGTAGACTGTAGACTGTAGACTGTAGACTGTAGACTGTAGACTGTAGACTGTAGACTGTAGACTGTAGACTGTAGACTGTAGACTGTAGACTGTAGACTGTAGACTGTAGACTGTAGACTGTAGACTGTAGACTGTAGACTGTAGACTGTAGACTGTAGACTGTAGACTGTAGACTGTAGACTGTAGACTGTAGACTGTAGACTGTAGACTGTAGACTGTAGACTGTAGACTGTAGACTGTAGACTGTAGACTGTAGACTGTAGACTGTAGACTGTAGACTGTAGACTGTAGACTGTAGACTGTAGACTGTAGACTGTAGACTGTAGACTGTAGACTGTAGACTGTAGACTGTAGACTGTAGACTGTAGACTGTAGACTGTAGACTGTAGACTGTAGACTGTAGACTGTAGACTGTAGACTGTAGACTGTAGACTGTAGACTGTAGACTGTAGACTGTAGACTGTAGACTGTAGACTGTAGACTGTAGACTGTAGACTGTAGACTGTAGACTGTAGACTGTAGACTGTAGACTGTAGACTGTAGACTGTAGACTGTAGACTGTAGACTGTAGACTGTAGACTGTAGACTGTAGACTGTAGACTGTAGACTGTAGACTGTAGACTGTAGACTGTAGACTGTAGACTGTAGACTGTAGACTGTAGACTGTACACTGTACACTGTACACTGTACACTGTACACTGTACACTGTACACTGTACACTGTACACTGTACACTGTAGACTGTAGACTGTAGACTGTAGACTGTAGACTGTAGACTGTAGACTGTAGACTGTAGACTGTACACTGTACACTGTACACTGTAGACTGTAGACTGTAGACTGTAGACTGTAGACTGGCTTTCATTGAGCAGCACTGTACTATTACCTTTTTACCATGGCTAAAAGTTGTTATTTTACCACTCATTCAGTGATGGTTGTCAGACTGGAAATTCGTACTACATGTCTAATGCGTTCAATGGTAGATAATGTCATGTAGACCCCTGGTGTCAACCAACATCTATACTACATTAAATATTTGATTACTTTGTGTGTAAAAATGGGTGTTTGTTGTCCAATCACCTAGATTTATGTGAGGAAAATTGGAGGTACTGCCTGACCAGTATCCCCAAGATACAAATGTAGATGTCAAAACGCTCAAAGCAAAATTTTAAATATTTGAAAAAGTCTACAGGTCTATCTATACCTGTACAATATAAAATACACTATAGACTATAGACTATAGTAGTGTTAGATTGTTTACCATTTTGACACTGCTATATCTACAGTCACACTAAGTAATTATTAAAACAGAGAGGTTCCAGGCTGTCCAAGAGAGTGCTCAATATGTTTTAACTAATTATTATACTGATAGCACTATGCATATGAAGTACATGTTGATTGTGTAAGTACATTGGACCACTTATAGCTTAGTGGAGGAGACAATGACCCTTTCGCTCGTTACTAGCCATTTCGCAAAGATGCTCGAAACATTTTCGAAACTTTTCGATGTTTCGGAAGAAATCGCAACTTTGGCAACTTTCTTCTTTTTCGGATGGTGAGCCAATTACATAATTGTGAAAAGAAGAAGGGCAAAATGTTACGAGTTATGATTAACTGTCCACGAACGTAACCAGATCTTATACAGTCAGCGAGTGCGACAAAATGATGCGTAGCTCGTGCTCTTCTTCATTGCGCTTTCCTTCCCCTCTTGGACCTTTCCGAACCTGAACCTTCTAAGTTGGAAGGTTGTTGGTTTGCGCCTTGGCGAAGTGTTGGAGCTAGGTGTCAGGTCGCCGAATGTCTCAGTACTCCTTGTCAGTTTTGTGCCATTTTGTCGCACTCGCTGACTGTATAAGATCTGGTTACGTTGGTGTATAGTTAGTCATAACTCGTACCATTTTGTCCTTCTTCTTTTCTTCTTTTTCGCGAACTATTTGGCAACATTTCCGCAACATTCGCTACATACAAAGCGAGCCTACTTGTTAAGTGTTATCTTACCTGACTTGAACTATTCTGTTACTGTTTTTCTTTCTTGTTTATCTGCCCATGACAAAGATCAGCTATTTTCACTTTTTAGACGTGTTGTACGAGTAGCATGTGATACACCATTTGATGCTGAGATTGTCCCGTTGTCCCGTTGTCCCGTTGCTAGCATTACTTTTAAAACATTCACAATATCACATATCATTTCCTATTTGTCTTCGTCATGTTTATTTATCAAGGCCTGTCAGCTGATTATCAGTTCTGTTCCCAGCAGTGTTCTCAATTAGAGTTACCCGTGACTATGATGCATTTCTAAATATCCCCATTCTGCTGTGTGCAATGTAGGTATACCAATGCATACTCGCTCATTTCTCTCCTGCCTTCAGACTCATTTTAGAGAAACAGTAGATCAACATTAGTTACGATAATGTGCATTCTCTTTTCCGTGCACTGGAATGATGTACTTCTGAAGTAGGATACATACAACAGGCTAGTACTGGCATTGTGTTGTGTTGTGCTTCACAGCAGTAAGGGATGTAGGAGTTTGCTGTCACTGCACTTCTGCTACATGTATTCCTTCTGCTCCTTTTTGTGTGTTTTGTCACAATAACTCTCCAAATTTAAGTTGCGATATTAGCCACTTTGGACCTTTTTCTGAGAATATGGATGCGACATCAGCAACTAGCACATGTTTGGCACGGTTGCGAAAAGCATAAGTTGCGACGAATTATGGCATCTTTGGGAAAGGCGATACGATACTCTCTATCGATCATAGTGGCAAAATGGTGCCTTATTCTATAACTTAGTGTACATGCAAGTCTAGGAATATATGGTCATAATGAATGTAAGAAAAGGTCAGGTGAACGTGTTCCACGAATCACAATCCTCACCCTACCTTCAATATATCTATTTGTCAGTCCAACTCGCAGCTGTACGTTTGACTCTGGTACTACTGTCACTTGTCAATGAAACTGACATGTCAGCTCACAGACACAGGGTCCCAGGGACTTCCCCTATCGAGCCCTGCTGCTGCATCATGTACATGTCTGTGTCTAGTTCCTACACTGCATACGTAGAATATCTCCATGCAGTCTGTCATCACGTGATCACTACAATCATGCAGCACCTGCTTGATCACCGCTGCAATCTGGAGACAGAGCCTCATACTATGAGTCATAGAGATTATTTTTTTAGTGAGTGCACCTTCTAGGCCTGGGCGGATAATGCTAGTTATTTTGCGGGATAATGCTAATGGCAATGCCAGAAAAACTGTATCATAATGCTACTTATAATGCTGCTGTTCCTCTGTAATGCCAGCAATTCACCAGTAGTAAGTATGGAAAAATGGCTTGTTTGGGCAGTATTGTGCACGTTTCGTAATTCTACGTAGACGGCATGGAAAATGCTAGAAAATCATGATCATAAAGCTAATTTTATGCTGCTATTGCTCCATAACGCCAGCAAAACCGCAATAGTATGTATGGAAAATTGGAAATGGCTTAGTTTGGACAATCCTATGCAGGTTGTGCAGTTCTATGTACAAGGCATGTAACGTCCATTTTTGTAGCGGCCAAAACTTCCATATTTGAGTATAATGCCACTTTTGTGGAAATGTAGTGTTATAATGCTAGCATAATGCTCGTTGCAAATCGCACACTATAATGCTACTTATAAAACAGAGAGGTTACAGGCTGATCAAGAGAGTGCTCAATACCGAGTGGTAGAGCTGGTTCAAACAATAGGAGGACAGAGAAAGTGTTTTTACTCCGAGTTTCACGCACTAAGCGATCATCAGAAAACAGTAATGAGAAATCTGGATCAGTGTTGGTTTATATACTCACAAAGCAAAGTGTAAATAGCTGCAGCATGGCGCAAATCTAAAAGTTGTGAATGGCGGCAGTGTAAAGCGTGAATGACTGCATCGTGAGGCAAATCCAAAAGTAAAAGTGTGAATGACAGAGTGGTGAAAGGTGACAACCACTGGAGCCGGTTGTCTCTTACTTAATTAGGTGATGGCTGTAGATGGTTTAAAGTTCCGAAGGTAGTACCTATTCTCATGGCGACACTTCGACACAAGCTCACTCCTTTTGTTGAGAGAGAGGTGCTTGGGTGCTTGCGCGATTGCCAATTTTTCTGCCAGGCACAGGTTGCACCTTTTGCTTTTGTTGCTGTAGGCCGCTGCTCTGCGGTGTACCGCTCATTGAATGCTGCATGCCTTTCCTTCATCCTTTTTGGTCCAGACGTACTGTGATAGGCGGGTGTCCTTCTCGTGTTGTCTGTGGCGGAATGAGGATTGGTGGTTATAATAGCGTTGTTTGAATGTTGTTGCTGTTAATCCAGTATACTCCTTCTTCTCCATACCTGTGGTGACTCTTGCCTTATACACGATGCTCTCCGTTAGACACGCTCCGTCCAGTGGACATGAGTCTTTC